GATTGCCTCCACCCTACTAGCGATGGCCTCCACCCTACTAGCGATGGTCTCCACCCTGCCAACTCTGGAGGCTGTTCTTTTCTTTTCTAGTGTAGCTTCTTGTTACTAGTAGCTACTTGCTCCTAGCAGTAGGGCCAGGAAGCCCCTAGTAGCGTCCTTGCTCCTAGTAGCGATGCCAGGAGCCCCTAGTAGCTTCTTGCTACCTAGTGTGCATGTTTTGACCCAAACAACATTAGGACATCGGAGCTCTATAGGTTGTTGCTTCGTGGACATATCATTCATGCTTTTGTATTATAGTTACACATATCTTTGCTTGTTGAGCTGAGTTGTTTCGTTGGTGGGTAAAGGAAGCTAGGCAGCCTTCTAGAAGGTCTTCAACATCCAAATTCTTCACATGAAACACTGGACCTTGATTCATTTTTAGCCAAACTCTCCTCGCACATCTTCATGGTGCCTTGTGGCCAAAACATTGTATATCGATGTATATCGTTTCTTCGTGTGTCTTCCAAAAGAATGCTCCTTCCAACCCGTGATCAACCCCGTTGGTGCTTTCGGATGCCCCCAAATTCCTCGAAGGAATTTTGCGCATACGTCGTACGCCGTGAAAGAAATACCTTGGAAGTTCAGGGCAGTGGATTCAAACTCCTACAAAGCAAATGTCCCCCCCAAGGACATCGCAAACAAAATCAGATGTTGAGGGCCGAAATAGCACATGATAATGGCATCATTGTTAGACCAAGTCACAGGTTCAAATCATCAAAAGTCACTTATAAGTCATAACCGAGCCATTGCAATAGTAAGATGAACAAAGCCACTGCGTTGACAACTCGGATATCCAAGTACGAACCAAACAACAAACTACCATTGCTGCCTGGCTGCATTACTTTAAACTACGGCTGGGATTGGCCTGGCCCTTGGCAAAGAATGGCCAAACGACGATGCATTCCTCCAGAATAGATCGGTTCCTATACGATTAGATCAGTATATCAGTATATCAAAAGCGAATTCTTCAGTGAAATTGAAGGCTTCTTGCAGCCAGATCACCATGACTTCGCCCTTTTCATGACACCCAACCGGTTTTCCCCCGGGCGCCACTGGTACCATTCACTCCGCCGGCGCCGCTCCATACCTAAAAGATCCGAAAAGCTAGTAGCTTCTTGTTCCGAGTAGTAAGGCCAGGAGCCCGGAGCCCCTATAATTTAGCTTCTTGTTCCGTTCGTAGCTTCCAACCTAATAGGAATGGACTCCACCCTACTAGTAGCTTCTGGCTACTAGTAGTAATGGCCTCCACCTGTGCGTAGCGATGGTCTCCACCCGAATTAGTAGCTTCGACCGCGGTTTCTCGCGTTCTCCTCCTCGCCCCTCCCGGCCTTGGAGGAGCGCTCCTGCAGACTCCCCACCACCAGCATCCGCCCCGAGGCATCCGCCTGACCGGCAAAGTTCACCGTCGAATCGGTGGGCAGACGACCGCACCGGGTTAACCGGAGGGGTGCAGGACGGTTCCGGTGCGGGTCCGGGTCCGATGCGGGTGCCGGACAGTGCAGGTGCCGCACCGGGGGTTTTGCTGAAAGTTTTTGACTTTTCAGGGAGGGTGAAATATGGTTGAAAGTGAGTCACGGTAGCAGGGCTATATGGCAGTATAGCAGGGCTTCTCGTATGGCCATGGCGCACACTGTAGCAGGGCGCCTGTGATCGATCGGTCCTGTGCTTTTCACTGAGCTTAGAGTTGTGCTGAGGTGGTCGTGCTACAACTTGCCCAACAACTGTAGGACTCTAGGTCAGGAGGTCCCCCAAGACTGCATGAGGCGAAGTTTTAGCCGCTAAGTGCCACAATTGAACAATGGAAACGATAAAAGTGCAATATAGTGTATTATAGGACACTTCAATGAAGCCCGCACAATAAATACAAGTGCGAGGATACTTCTAGAGTGTGAGTGAGGCTGCAACCTGTTTTTGTCAAACAACATTAGAGGTTATATGAGGTGATGTAATTTATGTGTTGGGGTCCAGCAGCTCAAGGCCAGCTGCGCCCACACAGTCAAAGGCACGGCGGTTTCCTGCCAGTTGTGACGCCTTTTACTCATCGGAGAGCGGAGGATCGACGCAAGAAACCATTTGTGCGGAGCTGCGTTCGTGCTCCCAAGCTCCCGACCATCCAAAACCTGGTTTTTTCCCTAGCAAAAGTCATGGTCTTTGTATGTGAAAACCTTCATTTTTTTAAGGGTTTTGAGGGCCGCTGGTAGAGTAAGAAGTTCTTTTTTTGCCTCAGAGTGGATCCGATCAGCACAAGTGCTCAAATGGTCACAAAACTTTTGGATGTGGTCCACTTCTGTGATCTCTCGGGAGGAAACCCAACAGTGGGAGTCGAAGAAACAACACACCAAATTGAAATCAATTTCATTCTGTACAAACTGTCTTCTGGGCATCCTTGATGATGCTCCTGCAAACCAATCTCAACAAGGTTTCCCTTGAAACCTGGAACGTGTAACACATTCTATTGTGCAGCAGCAAAACCGAAATCTTGCAAGCAATTGGTATGGCATGGCCCTTGCCGACAGTCCTCCCCAAATACAAGGGACTTCTCCATCACCTCCGCCCCAAACTTGTTTGGAGACTGGCTGATGGAATCCAACAGGCCACTCCACTGGTTCTCCGCTCGGCCTCCTGAACATGAGCTGCACTTGGAAATCGTAGTGCCACGTCAGAGACCCTGGGATCACTGCCGTAAAGGGCTGCAGCAAATTGCAGTGTCATTCACCAGCTTACGGGATTTCAGTGTCTCGATACAGCCCCCTAACCCTCTTTGGACCTTTGGAGCTGGAGGCGGAGACATTCCTGCTGATGCAGTTCCACTTCCCACCACTGTATGTGGGCTGATCAACACCAAAGGTGTCCCTGGTAGCCTAGTATAGTCGATTCTCTTCATGTTCAATGGTCAAGCAGGGGCCCTGCCAACCTGGTTCCGCATGGAGTGGCATTGAATGGTCGACTCGGAGGGCAATGGGGTCTTTGGAAGGTTGTCATTCTATATATAGGTTCTAGATTTGAACATTGCAACGTTGGTTGGTGGTCTCACCCCAAAATAGTTTATCATTGCCCAATCTCCTTGCCATAAATCAAGATGTCACATTCAATTTTGTTGAACAGTTTCATTCGTTTCAGCCTGTTCACTCGAACTGTATGGAAAACCAACATTCCGATCGACACTGAAGGAGAAAAAACGGCAACTTCACGCACAATTTCAATATTACACAGTTGCAGCCAGCTAGTGCATATGTCGCCACAACAAACTATACAATTGCAACCAGCTGATGTGTATGATGCAATCATGAAACATGTATTAACACACAACTGCTGAGAGGAATCTTTGGTTTCCTTTTCACTCACCTGGTGATGCAAATGATACGATGATGAAAATACAGTCAGATATACCACACAAACCATATTGTTTTTTTCATGTTTCAAGCAGCTTTGAGTGGCCTTGACATGAGTACAGGCCACTTTCGCAATCAGGGTGACATTCGCTACAAAGTCAAGTCCCTCCATGATGACGCAAGGAAGGTTGGAACCAGTCATCTGGGCTGTGTGTAGTGTATTGAACAACATGCCTGCAAGTTAGCATCATTTGGACACCCTGACAAATGTACAATTTCAAGGGTGCCGAAAAATATGGATGCTGGAGGGTCCAACAACAGTGATTATAGAGACTTCTTTTCCCTCTCTCTGAGAGCCACCGGTGCGGGCGGCTGTTGTCGCGAAGCGACCCGAATGACCTTTGACGCTGCAGCCGACTGAGCTGCCAACAGTACACGCAAACCAGCTGAAGCGAAGGTCAATGCCAGGCGGGCTATCCATTCGGTCTTTCCTGTGCCAGGACCAGCTTGCAAAGCCAGAGCTGCAAGCCCAGAAAGAACGGCTTTGGCTGCTGAAATTGGAGCGGGATTCAACTTTGAGATCTCAAGAAAAGAGGAAGGTTCCACGTAAGTGTTCTCATAATCCAGTTTCTTCACCGGCAAAGAGGTTCTCGAAACTTGCGCCCCAATCAAAGCTCCAATACACTGAGAATTGATAATGACTGTCCTTGATTTTTGCATATCATTTGGGAGTTGACAAGGTGCAGTCAGAAACAACCCTGTTCACATCGATATATAGGCAATGCGAGCGGGACCCCCCAATTTCAATGACCACCTGCCAATCTGGTTCTTTGCAGATTGGTTAGATCTCACCTTCCCTGAACATCAGCAAGCGTCCAGAAGATCCTTTCGGAAGAGAAATCCTGCCAGGGGTCCGGATGACAGAACCCTTGAACAAGAATGTCCTTCCACTGTGCTTGAAGGTCTTTGAGGATGTCCTTCTCTGACTGCAAATGCAACATGCCTTCTTCCGCCTCAGGCACTCCCTCATCAACAATCTTAAGTTGAGTTTCGCTGATGAGCGGCATTCTATTCATAGACTTGGCGTCGCTGATGATTGCAAGGCTTTGCAGGCGGTGCAGGCTCATCATCAAGACGTTTGCCACCAATCCTTTCTGGAATCGGTACTGCCACAAGCAGCTTGCGCAAAAGGGCACCACTCCAAGCTGAGGGTGGCCCCAATCCCCAAGGGGGTGGGCCTTCCACGGAGGTGGACGGGTTGAACTTGTCCACCTTCTTCAAAAGGGCAAACACTCGTTGCCAGTTGACAGGTCACGCAGATGGCCTCGACGCGACGCGCCGTAGTCCAACCTCGATTCATTCCCGTCCCCAGCGACCTGGGCAGAGACGCCGCCTGCCATAGAAACCTCCTCCGTGCGCTCGCCACGATCGCATTGCTGCATTGCATCACCGTGGATACAGATTGCCAACGCAAAGTGGGAGAGGTCATCGCTCAACTTCTGAATCACAATGTGATGACTCCGTCTATGACTGGAATCATGCGGAATGTCACCAATGTTCCTCCATGTTCCTCCCATGGAGTCAGTTCAATGCGAGTGTAGGGTTTTCGGAGATTCTGCTCTGCGTCCCAAAGCCAAGATTCTGCTTCTCCGGAGATGTTTGAAGGAGAATGGTGAGTCACGTGTGTGGAAACGAATGGACCAAATGACCAGAAGAGACTTGCCAGGCATCTCATCCATCATCCCCCGATTGAAAAAGAACCGTCCAGTTCTTTTTTGCCCCCAAACTATCCAAAACTATCCAAACTGGTAAAAGCTTCTCCACATGAAAAGGTGGGACAGGCTAAGGACTTGCCGCCACCCTCCGAGCGCCCGCGCAGCAGCTCCGGCGCGCAGAGGCGCTCGCAGCGCAGCTCGAGGCGGATCTGGCGCTTCCTGTGGATCGGGGGGAAGAAGAGTCTCGCACCGCAACGGAGGTAGAAGGACGCTATGCTCGGTGGAGGCTATGCTAGGAGTTAGTAGGTTTGAGGCCAGAAGCATACGAAGGTAACAAGAAGCTATACTTAGTAACACAAATCATGCCATCTTGATAGTCTTTACGATAGTCTTTACGAGGCTGACGCAAGAAGAAACATGAGAGGCTTTCCAGAAAAGTCAAGCACAGGCCATGTTTTCTTGGCTCTGTCGAACCGGCGTTTTGTTCCACCAAATGTTTTCCCTTGTTTCACAAGCCGTCTTCTGTCGGGATTGTCGAACCTGGATCTGATGAATTGAGAATTGATATTGCTTCTGCTTTGTTGTGATGCTGGATGTCTTGTGTGGTCCTCAATGCAAGAGGCTAAAGGCATATCATAGAACCTTCATTCGAGCTCGCTTTGAGTTTTCATGGTATTTCCTTCTTTTGCCACGACATGGCCGAAACCATCCAGGGCCAAGTGGAATTCTTCCACAGGCCCCAAGCATTTTGGAGGCCGACCGGAGAACCTCGACTTCCGAAGAACCGACTGTCCCACGATTGCATCGCGAGGTCCACCACACCCGAAGGATGGAACATCCTTTGGCCTTTTCAGGACAAGAAACACGGTCAAATGCAAGTGCGTGATTCCTTTTGAAAACAAATGCACTCCCGAAAACTCACACGGAAGTGGAGTTCACCACCTGTTTGTAGTGGAAAAGGGTCTTCCAAGGGGCCATTCTTCACTTCCATGTGAGTTCCATGGAGTGTATGGATCCGGACAAAGGCGCCCCCTAGAAGTCTGTTTTCCTCTAGCAACTCGTGGTTTTGCAGGGCTTCAAGTGGGGTCAAGAAAAACATAGAAAAACAATAAAGCTGTAAAAACCGTTGATATCATTGATTCTCGGCCATCCCACCAAACTGTTGACCATCCAAACTTGAGCATCGTTGCTCGCTAACTCACCCTTCATTTCCCCATCCTTGGAGCACACCTCACGGACTCACGGACTAGAAGAAACGGCTGTCTGAACACACCAACGAATCAAGACAGGATCACCCATTCAGACCCGGTCTGAAAGCAAGCTCACCATGCGGACCCGTTTGTGGTCGACACCGGCGCCTAAGCGGATCACCCTTCGGCACACCGGTTGGAAGATCGAGGCGCTCTGGCGGATTCGGCGGCACCGGTGTGTCTTAAGTCGCTTGGTTTCAGCCTTCCCAGACACTCCATGTATGCCATATATGCCTACATCGACCCCCAAAACCACGCCAATGTAGGCATACATGACATACATGGAGTGTCTGGGCTTGGAAAGATCACATGGTGTTTTGATCTTCTTCTTTTTTTTAGAAAGTGTCCCAGGTCGAGCCCAGCTTCTCCCATGGCCGACACAAATCACCATTTGGGAGAAGCTATATATATTATACTGCACGAACCTGTATCCATCCTACCTCAGAATGATTGTTCTGACAAAACCTCACATGACCCTATATCCCCTGTGACACCTGTTCAATCACCCCATTTCTATACCAAAAAAGGCTCCCACTGGAGAGCCAAAATATGTATTAAACCAATGTTTGAAGATTTGAAGATTTTTGAACTGGCTCCGAGATGGGGATGGATCTGAAAAGTCTTCCGACTGAGTAAGATTCATTCATTTAAGCTCTCAGGTGAGAACAAAAACCATCGTTACTCACCCGAAAGGCTGCGTTTCTTCATCACCAATACCCTGGCCACTTCTGCTGGTCTTCCACCACAAAAACACTTCCCTTCATCGGTCACTGAACCCGCTCGAAGTTCACCCGCCTGAGGTTCGGAGAGCGGATGCACACATAAACGGCCTCGTGAGGTCACTGGGGGATCCAGCAGATCCAGCGGAATCCCAAAGGAATACACTGGAACACCCAGCGAACCGGCACACTTTCCCCAGTCATATTGGAGGGACACACATATCCACTAGAGCTTCAAAGTGTACGACTATTCACTGATTAAAACAATCTGACGTACTGGTCGTATGCTTAGCACCGGTCCGTTGAAGTAGGTATCAGCCCAGCTATCGAGCTGAACGGGATATGGCTGCTGAGCATGGCGAAATCAAAGAAGGGCAATTGCTTTTGGGATGTATCAATGATGCACATACCAGGGCCGCCCACAAGGGGTGGCTAATGGATACCCCATCAACCTCTAAGGGGCTATCATTAGACACCCCTAAACGGGGGCCCTGTGGCCGCCGTGGTACTTAGCTTTTCTGGGGTGATTCGTGCCGTTAAAACCAGTCCGGTACCTTTTCTCGGAACAAAGGCACTTCGGTGAGAGCACGGCCGTGGTTCCGCCCAACACGGACGCGGTTCCGCCTCTTCTTCTCGCCCGGATCTCTCCGGGGTAAAGACTCGTCTTTCGAGCCAAGAAAAAGGGGTCGAACTTGGGGTCGTCATGAACTCTTCCAGTGCCCAAACTCCAGGTCGCTGGAAACTCCACTCCTCTTGCTTCGAGGCGTGGGGTGACCTGAAACCGAGGGGCTAAATGTTCACCACGATGGCACACGGTCCACAAGCGCCCTTGAAGATCCGTGAGCTCCTGGGAGAGGACGGTGCTCAAGAGGACGGCGCCAGACACAGCAGGCGGCCGTGTTTTGGATGACGTGATGTTTTGCTTGGTGTGAGAAAAACACCACCTTCAAAACCATCTATCAGACTTGATGCGGCACGCAAATACCAATGGATTTGGACGACTGTATCACATGTTTCCCCCTTTCATGCCTTTGACGGTGGATATATATATATATATTATCTGTCAACCATAAATACCACGTACAGGATTGACTGCTCAGCCGTGTCGTTGTCGTCTGCGTGGTCGTTCGGGCATTCCGGATCCACCGTCTACCCTGCAGTCCTTCTCTGGAGGGATTGGCAAAGTGGCTGTGCTCGAGGAGGAAGGAACCTCCATGCTGCTGGCTGAGACCAGTCACACCCAACTGAAGCTCAACCCTGGCCCAAGGCACATGGGCTGTGAACAGAATGGGATTCTTTACATCCAACAATAGTTCTTGGAAGACACATGGGGACCCATCTCAAGATGCCGCACCAATAGACATGGATCCAAAACATTCTAAAGCACTTGTTTTTGGGTGTTTCGATGGGGACACATTGATGTTCCTTACCCCAGGCCCATGTTAGGAGTCTTTGTACCATCAACCCAGGCTACCGGGTCAACGTTTGAGCTTCGGATGCCGCCTGCCCAGCATCAGGTGTCGGTGTCGCTCCAGGTGCCGTCACATCGTCACGCATCACCTGGTTGGGTTGGCCCAAACCAGAAACGCAGAAGCACAACAACGACAACAACAGCAACCACAACCGCAACAACTACAACAACCACCACCACAACAAGCACAACAACAACACAACAACCCTAAGAATCATGGACCTCAAAGGTGAAGGTTTTGAGGTGTTTTGCGAGAGTCCAATGCCAAACCGGTGAAAACAACACGGCGCGGTCTACCATGACAATGTATGATTTTAGCCAAATTCCTGAAGATCGTTGGAATTCTTGCAAGATATGTGTTGTCTCAGGGTGGTTGGGGGTTGTAAGTTGAACTCACCCATCAGTTTCCTTTTGCAAGATTGACCCATGTTAGCCATCTATTAGGGCTTTCGTTTTTCTGGTAAGGGTGTGTCGTTACCTGCAGCCAAACAAATAGGAATCTACTGGTACCGGCCACCACAGCAACTAATATGGCTGGAAGAATGGCACGTCCTTGGCAAAACCTTTATTTCTTGGACCTCAAACATCCTCAAACATCTTTTGGCCAGAAACCAACCGAATTCCTATGGCACACAACTTCTTGTCACTCTGTTTCGGGCGGAGTCGCTCGGCACGGGCGACGCGCTGCGGCCTGGTACTTGGGCGCTCCAGCGTTGCGCTGCGCCTCCAGGCGTTCGCGCATCTGCGCCAAGGGATCTTTCACCTATGTCGAGATCACGCGACGAAGCAGGGAGACATCTGATGGGAGACGTCTGAAGGGTGCATGAAGCGACGGCCTTACTGGTGACGCCTAACTGGCTGGACAGCCGTCAGTCACTTCGGGTCACTCTCGCCTGTCCCCTGTGTCTGTGTGTCCTGCCTGGTTTGTTCAGTGTCCGCAACTGAGTGGAGTTTGTCGACCCATGTCGGGCGCATGTTTGTTTGTTTTGGGAGGAGCTCGGCACGTTTTCTGAGCACCACCAGGATCTGAGAGGCTTAGAACATCCATTGTCTTGTTTTTGTCTATATATATAATATATGTTTGATATTATGTTTGTATCAGGATGAGTTGAGCCTGTCTTTTGTTGAACAGCAAAAGACAAACACCAAGCCACGAGCAACAGGGCCAATCAACCGAACCTTTAGGCCAGGGTGAGAAACACCAAACGAGCAACACGGCAGCGAAGCTGTCAAACGCTGTCTCGAGTTGCATACTTCATTCCATCGCCATGTGCAAATAGGTATTTTGCAATTTGTGTTTGTGTCCTTTTATGATGTTCTCCAGGAACTACAACACAAAGATGTTCTCCAGGAGGCTTAATCTAAAGGGAATAGTGATTTGTTTGACGCTGACATACGCTGACGCCTTTGTTAGCTGGATCTTTTTCCCAGACAATGCTTAATGCAGGCGATTCCTTTTTTGTGCTGGCGGCTCTGTTTTATTCGTTTAATGCAGGGTAGTCTTTTTAACTTTTTTTATGCTGATGATTTTAGCCCCCTGCGCCCCCCTCTGTGGTAGTGAATGTCTTCTTCCTTCATCAAGTGAGGAGAGTGTGGCAAATGCCGCTCCGCAGAACCAAATAGCTTGCCCATCCATGCCCATCCAATGCTTTGATCCCCACAAACAACTTTGGCAAACTCAACAACATATGATCCCTGGACATTGAAGGCAGGCCACGGGCCATGGGTACATCCAAACTATCTTCGCCGTGAAGCCATGGTGATTTACAGCAGCTCGTGTTTGTAGCTCTTGGTATGCCGCGCAGGAAGCGACGAGGCTTTCCAGCAGGGCCTCATCCGATGCCGGGTTCAGAAGCCACGTGCCCATTGGCTTGGCAGGTGTTCCCACTGCTTGGCAACTTGTGTGCTCCACTGGACGCGATGCGTCAGCAGCGCAACGGCCTCCTCATACCCCAAGCGCCAAGCGCCACAAAAAGCTTTTTCAAGCATGCTTTGGACCAAACGTACTTGTATACAGGCCACACATCGTCGGTGAAAGCGGTCACCTGCATCTGGGAGAGCGCATGTCTGGCGTACGGCCGCATGTCGGGCGTACGCTCTAGAGAAAAAAAGAGTGCAGCAAAACTGCTAGCTGGACACATCGTAGACAAATGCGAAGCTTTAGGGTTTTCTTGGCATCGACATTGATGCGAAGGGTTCGAAGATGTTCGAACTCCTCTACCCGATCGATGCATTAATAGGTGTCTTATTTTTCTGCGGAAGGCGGGAAGGTTCTCTTGGTTTGTGCGGATATGATTCATGCAAACGGTTCTTTCTTCGCGCTGGACATATAAATTTACAATCAAAGGATCCCCCGCCGATCCAGCCACAACCACTGTAAGCAACGAAAAAGCACCCAGGCCCCGGCAAAGAGACAAATACCCCACATGCACCGGCAAAGACCGGCACTTTCCATAAGAAAAGGAAACCCTACACACACAAAATACCAAAAGCTACTTCCCGAAAAGAGGCGAACGCATCAAACAAAGAACCCCTCAGCCTTCGCACAAAACGAGGAAGATGTATGAGAGGAAGAAGAGTTCACCACAAAGGGAGATTCTTCCCGCATTGAAAACGAATCGTGGGCATTGAAAAACGAAGAACACCCCAGACTCCCGCAAGAAGAGGAAGAGGACAAGGAAGAGGCGAAACAGGAAGACCGAGAAGAAGCAAAAGAAGAAGGAAGAGGAAGTTTCCCCCACCGCCAAAACTGCCACCACCGCAAAAAGGGAATCCTCCATCAGTTAACAAAGAACCGCGAGGAAGGAAGAGGAAAAAGAGAGGAAGGAAAAGGATTTCCCCCGCCGCCATCACTGCCACCACCAGGGGGAGGGTGAGGAGGAAATCCCCCAGCACACAAAAAACAGAATCGTCGCACAAACAATGTACCCCCCACTAAAACAGAAGCAGCTGCATACAAAAGAAACTGTGAGCCTAGAAGAAAGAACCACAAGGCAAACAAAAGGTGCCGGCTGCATGAACACAAACATCTTTCCCCCCCAAACTCCAAACCACACCTGCCCGTCTATCCGCATATTAAAACAATAATCAAATGCGCTGTTTTCAGACCTGCTCAATGTTGCGCAGTCTCGCACACAGGAGAGAGGGTAATTAAGGACCTAGCCGATGACTCGACGACTCACCAAAACCGGTTTGAACGCTTGAGATGTTCGCTCGCTCTGCCCACTGAGTCAGACTTCCCCACATGTTTGTCTCGCTCCCAGAATCCCCCTGGGATGATCCTCAACGGGTGAAAATCGCTTTCCAAACGAAGCATCCCATGACTTTTTTCGCCGGGAGATGCTTACCGCTTGCATTTTTGTTGCTGTTTGTTTCTTCCCTGCCTCAGGCACGGACGGCTCTTGTGCCTGGAAGTGGCGCGAAATGGAGGGTGCGAAGAGAATCTTGAAGCGTTATAGGATTGAAAATGCTGGTATCAATTGAAATGATCAAGTTGGTTCTGATTTTTTGTCTGTCGCAAAATGCTCAACATGCTGCCCAGGGTGTGCTTTGTCATCATTTTGAGTGACCCTCATCTGGAGGGATGTTCGAATTGAGTGGTTCCCACAAAAAGCACGTGGCTTGGATTCCTTTTTAAGAATGTCACTCTAGACATCTCTTTCTCTTCTGGTCTTCAGTGGCTCAAGCCACGGCCAAGGAACCCAGAAACATATTCACCAGAAAGAGATTCACCCACAGGGAAAATAAGAAAATCACCTTAAGCAAAATCCGGGTGTAGGCCTGGACAGTGACTATAGTGACTATAGCACTGACCGAAGGTGCCGGGCTGTGATCCTCCCGGCTGTACAGGCTGTACAGTGACTGTGTTGGTGACTTGCTGGCACCACCTGCAACCACCTGCAACCACGGTTTACACTGGGTTTTCCCATCAGGTTGCACCTGAGACCAGCGGTCTTTCCTCAAACGATGGCCAATCCATCCATGTGCAGTTTGACGTTGGGCAGGCGCAAACATTGAAAACACCGCTGAAGTTCGACGAAACAGGACGACTACCCAGCTTCTAGTTGCTGAGTGCCTCGTTCTCTGAGTTCAACTGGATATAACTTTAAAAGCCATGGGGGCCAAAGGAGAGTTGCAGGGTTGTGAAGGTTTTAAGTTGTTGGTTTGGGTAAAAGGGCAAAAATGGGCACCTCGACACCTGCACTTGCCTGGAGTCTTATCTACTGGAGCAAGCTGCACATTCCGATCAAGACCTGTACTTGGTAAGTGTTGGGATTCATGCATGTATATGTTTCTCAAATCAAAGAGTGTTGACCATACTATGGAGAATCCAAAGTAAGTTCAGTCTCCTTTCCTACGTTATTCTTGACCTTGAGGTCTTTAGTCTTGTGCCTCCTCATATCCCTACATCATGCATCCTGCCCCAAATACTAAGACACTTCTTGACTTCGCCTATGAAGGCACCCAAAGTGCCTTCAGAGCTCCTCTCCCATTGAACCCGCTCTCCAAGTCTCCCAGAAAAATGGAGCCTCTGAACCCAGTGAAGCTTTGCTAAGCTTTGGGCCACCCGCACGGGTCGGTCCAGTGGTCCAGTGGTTCAGGGGCGGTCCGTCCCATCGGTCGGTCCGTCTCATAGGTGGGTCACACGTGGGTGCCATATGGAACCTCTATAGATTATATAACGTACTTCTTAGGGCTTTCACACATGAAGTGAAACATGTGAAACTAGCAACTACGTAAGAAGCTACAGCTTGGAGGCCGCTATTAGACTGGAAGCTTGGAGGCCAACACCTACGAACGTAACAATTGAAACTGCGAACGTAACTACACAGGAAGTGAAACATGTAGGTGATGTCAAGAAGTGAAACATGTCATGAAGTGAAACACAAAACCCACGACATGAAGAAAAGGCCTATGTCATCAGGTCACTGTAGGTCATCGGACCGTCGACGTCGACGTCATCTACCGTTCTGAAGGCACGATCCGCCTGCTCCGCGGCGGCGCGCTCGTCGGACTTGCCCAGGTAGTACATGGAGCTACTGGGCCTCAGGTCGTCGCGACGAAGAGTGAAGACATGGAGTGAAGACATGGTGAAAACACACATGGTCGGACACAAAAAGGCTTCACCAAAAATATGAGGAGACCTTTTGAACATGATATTTTTCTAGTAGGTTGATGCTTGGTGATGAAGTATGACCTGCAATGCACCTACCATTTGGATTGGCCGAACCCTGGTATTGTTCATACAAAAACCTTACTGCTTTAGCCAAGCCATGCTTTGCTACTTGCTACTCCGGTGTCTCCACCGGCACGCCGAGTCGGTGACGCATTCCCGGTCTCGTCCGCGGTCGGACCCATGCAACATCCGGAGGTGCCTTCTTCCCCCTGTGACGTTTTGGTTCAAAGATGTTCAAAGGCAACGTTGGGTTGGAATGTTCAAACCAACGTAGATCACCATACTTCTGGGTTTGTTCGCTTCTTCACCAATGAAGCCTGGCTCGTTTCACCCGGACCAAGTCGATGTTGGTGGATCCTCCTACCACCCGGCCGGATCCAATCCTCAACGAACCCAGGTCCACATCCATGGGTCTGTGCCATCATGATTCCATGATCCATCGTGATTTTTTTTGGGTGTTCGTCTTGAAGATTCTGTTTAAAGTGCGGGCATCATGCTGTTGACATCGATATCAAATTGCACCAGAGGGGATCGAGATGGCAGGACGAACACGAGCCGACGCACACGTTTTACGAACGAAGAATCCATGGGATATCATGGGACTGGCATATGACACCGCTGCATTGGGGTGGTTGAAAAGTGACAGCGGGGGTCTTTAAGTAATTCCATACATGGACCATCGAAGCTCGTCCAGAAGCGTGGGTCTACTCCTTCAAGCTCCCAGAGGTGAAGCCCATGCGGGTACTTGTTGTACCGCAGAGTCTGCAGCGTTCTCTCCATAATCATATCCATCTTGTGCCTATCGAACCTGAAAAACCTGCATATTTGTACTACCAACCACCCAAAACATATGGTATTTTCGTATCAAAACTGGGGTCATGTTCGGGTTCGAAGTATAAGCTTCTTGGTCTCGGGGTGTTCCAGCGTTTTTTCGACTTTCGTTTCTCAAACGATTAGAGGACAATTTCTCTGCCAGGTTATCTGTTTTCTATTTCCACTCATTGCCAAACCAATCCGATCCTTTCCAAAGCTAGCAAGACCCGAAGCAGCTGCACTTTCTGCAATACGGACCTTCCAACTCTTCCAACTCCCAGCAAACATCCGATTGAGACTTGAATTTGTTGTTTGCTTATTGTTCGTTTTTTTTGGCACATCCCAAAACATCCAAAATATCACGTAAAAAAGGGCTGCAACAATTCTAACCACGCACTTGGATTCACTGGGTGCTCCTTCTTCCCAATATTTATTCCTTTTTGTTCATCTGGGTTCCCGCGCACTCCCTGCGCCGTGCTTTGCGGCGCCTCCGCCCGGTTGGGCTCCGACGCGAAGCCCAAATCGTCCTGCAGCGGAGGAGGCGAACCACGCGGTGAGGGCGGTTCGAAGGTGGTGGCAAAGACCGTGGTACAGTGCGATGAACAAGTGGGGTTCGGTTTGAAGTGCTGAACAATATTAATGGCGGTATTGTTTTATTGGAACCCATGTCGTGAATGTTCAGGATTCTGGTCGTGAAACATGTGGGTATAGTTGGAGTACACTCAGTTACAACTTCCGCCCTTCAGGTGGGAACACAAAAAGGTTGCCCATCCGACTTCCACATGCGTTTCAAGTGGAGAGTTGAAGCCACCAAAGATGGCACCTGCACAACTGAACATGAACTATGTGGGTGTATCAACTTGTTTGAAAACCAAACCTCCCAGTTTGATCCCCTGGAAGAAGAGAAATAGACCACTACCCATTATATAAATGGATGTGCTTCAACAAAAGGAAAAATACCTGCATCATCATTGGACAGCTTACTTTGCGCACATGGTCTTTTGGAGGAGAACTCCGTGTGCTGTCTTTGCGCAATTCTGTGAGCATGGTCCTGTCTTGATCCACACAAGAAGCCCTGCTTGTCACTTGCGCCCGCCGCAGCCTGCGCTTCCAGCTCAACTCCCGGATCTCCCATTTCAGTTTGATACGGATCCGGTCTGGCACTCTGTGGCTTGCAGCTCTTGAACTCAGGGACACTCAGACCAAGCAGTGGCACCAGCCACTAAAGGACACTCAGGGACACTCAGACCAAGCAGTGACACCAGCCACGAAGACCCAAGATGGCCCTGAAGCTCGGGAACACCACTGTGATCGCGCTGTCGACCGGTGATCTTGCCAAGACCGTTGCCGCCTGCACCAGTAAGCCTTCGGGGACCGTCATACTCTCTGCACCCCCTGAGAGCTCAGGCCGAGCTGATGATGCAAAGACACCTGCGTTGCCAGCCGGTGCTGCGAAGGAAGACCCGACCGGAGGAGTCACGTAAAGTGGCGTGACCTCGATGACCTCGATGGCGGCGTTTTGAAAACGTCCTTCCATTTTCGACTTCGTCACAGTCCCAGCCGACATAGCAAACATGGTCACTGTGGCAGTAACTTTGCAACTCACAACTTGCTTGCCCCATCTCATAGACTGAAGAATGACTCCACCGGGATCCTCTATGCGACTTTTCTGTGTGGGTCTAAAAGGAATGTTCACCGGTTCACCATGTCCTATCCAACAGTCAATCCTTTGCGGAGCTGTGGACAGGGTATGACAGAACCCAAGCCAAGAACCTTAAGTAATTATCATGTTCCACAAACGATGACCCATCATGGCCGTCATGGCTATGACCGTCTTTTCATGTCTTTTCCCTTTGGAAAGGGCAGCGCTTAGCGCTGTGGGCCGTCGTTTGCAGGTTTCGCTTTCGGCCAGTGGCAACACCGACAGCCACAGGGATACGGCCAGCGTATACCGTTTTCATGGTACAAACCGTTCCCGTGTGTTTAAAAAAGGATGCACTTGTTTCTTAAGTTTCTTATTATATAACATAAAGATGCATGAAACAAATCTTTTGTCCACTTCGCAGCGTGTTTGTCATACATCATGGAAGAAATAGAACAATCAAGAAATAGAACAATCAATAGAGACTGCTCCTACCTGACCAAGTGACTCCCTGTCATCAATTGAAGATGTTCCTCAAACCCTGAGTACAAGGTCCCATCTCGACTACCCCAACGGTCTGTCGAGCCAAACCAACGGTCGACGCTGAAAGAGGTAGTGCTCAGGAGCAGTCTATAAAGAAACGCAATCAAAAAATGTTTCTCTTTTCCAAACCCTTCCGTGGCATATTAAGGCATTTTTCCGATTAACCAGCATGTCTACTCTTAAGGTGTTTTAAGGCGCTTTCTTTAACAACTAAGACTATTCTTCTATTCTTGTCAACCCAGTCGTTTCTTCTTCTGCTTGTACTTCTTCCTTCTCGTGCTTCTTCTTGAGGCTTCCTCTATCTTCCTTCCTTTTGTATCCTTTTGTTTATCTTTTTTTTTTTGCTTCTTTTTGAGCATTCCTTCTCTAACACATTCTTCGTAACCCTTTTCTTTTTGGTCTTCTTGAGTCTTGGGCCTTTCTCTCCATATAAACTCCTCATCTTCTTATGTCTGCCTCTTCTCAAGTTCCTCTTTTTCTCCTTCTTCTTTGTCTCCCTCTTCTCCTAGGACCACCATGGAAACTGGTTGCATCCCAACCAAGTGGTGGCAACGTACCCTGACACTCCCAACCAAGTCATGGTGGCAACGTTACGATGGGATCCCCATAAACCCCCCGAAGACCCTGGATATTTCCGAAGACATCCGAAGACTCCGTGGTGGTTGTCAGTGGTTGTCCGCTTCCACGCTGATATTGAGGGAGTGTGTAATGCAAATCAAATGAGCAAAGGATGCTCCTTGTTGGGAGCCTACAAGACAGGCCAAGATCATCTGGGAACCTGAAACGCATTTCTGCCGAATGCATTTTTCCCAAATGCTCCATGGATCTTGAATAAAGTTACCTACATTGGGGATCATTGGCGCCATAACTTGGGTACCCTAACATATAAGTACCTCTTCCAGTCCCATGGATGGTCTGGGTATGTCGTGATCTACCAGTCTTCATGTGAGTCTTCGAATAAATATGTGTACTCCTTGTCCAAGTCTGAAGTGCAGCCATGGGCAACGAGCCCCTGGAAGAAGGACAAAAGTACCAAGACCACATTGGGCCAGTGGGTCTTGATGTCCATACACGGTCACGTCATGTCTCCACCTCAAAAGGACCAGTCAATTGTGCTATTCCTTTTGGAGAACCATTGGGGCCCAGTAAAACGAGGCATTTGACTTGGAGGGTCTTGTTGTTGATTCATTGGCACCATCTGAAACCCCCGAAGCCTTCTCCATGCTCCATCGTGCCGCGACCCTGCACTCGACTCCACTAGTCTGCTTTCGGAAAACAAGCAACCATCTGCTCCAGTGAAGGAATGAAAACCCACCCAGTTCGGGAACAACCAGCCCTCCCCAGCCCGATCCTGCACCCAAACCCCGGAGTTGAACATGTTGCAACCAGTCAAAATCCAGTGAGAATGTGTGGAATCTCTGCCATCGAAAGCATGATACCATGATACGGTCGAAAGCAATCGGGTCGTATTTTTTGTAGCTACAAATATGCTACTGTGCAAACAACCCCTGAAGCTGCCCTGCCAAAAAATCTCCAGTCCTTGTAGGTGGAGGCCAAGGAATAGGGATCCGTAGGATCCGCGCCTTGGTCGGTCCAATGCATGTTTTTGGATAAACAATATCAGGAAAAAAACACACACTATAGTACTATAGAATGTTATTTCACGGATCGTGTGCCATTGGTTGTGGGGGGGGCACCCAGATTCAAAGTCGTTGGCGAGTACGATGGCAAGGGGGAAAACATTGGGAATAATAGCTCTTGCCCAGAAGCTCCGTTCATAGCCCGACTGGTCCCTCAAACCCAGGCATTGGTTCGACACCAAACACCTCCAGGGTCCAGCGAGCATCTGGGTGATGAACTAAAAGTATGCTCGCAGCCACTGAGACAAGCAGCTTGACTCGGGCAGGAAAACGGGAAAAGTTGTTGAAACAGAGTCTAAGTCTAGAGTTAAGCCGATCTGTTCAGTGTCGTTGTCCTCAACTCCACGAAACTGTTTGCTCCGATTGACCCGCAAGGCCACAAGGCTGTAAGAATTCAATGGCCATTTTAGTGTAAAGAATGACCGAGCTTTGCTTAAGGAACTTGGAAAGAAACTTCTCCAGAAGCTTCGAAAGGGGATTTACCCAAACAAAAACACAAATCACCTGATCCGCAAAACCCAGGAATGGTTGGAAGACAGGCTCACCAACGTCCTCCACAAGCCTCGGGATGCGAGGAAACACAGATGGTTCGATGTGAAAACGCTGTCACGGGTTGTGAAAACGTGTAGTGAGTGTTTGTCTTTTCCTGGATCCGTGCCAGGCACTCCCAAACGGGATCACTAGCTGCCTTCAACTATCTGGCCTAAACCCAGCCAGCCAAAACACGTGCAACACACAACAGCATTGTTATCCCCAAACCGCCACTCCGACCAGGACATCCCGTCGAAGCGTCTCAGAGTGGAGTGTCTGGGCCACCCCGACGAACAGGCATGAAGCTCGGCCGTGCCTCCTGCAAACATGTGTGGAGCTTCATGGACTTGGCAGCCGATGTGCGCTGAAGTATCTATGGATTCAGCAACCGCTGAAGCTCCCATCATTTCTCCTACTGAAGCATGGTGATTAGATTTCAAAAGCATATCGGCCTAATGCTGAAAGAAACAAACTCATGGTTCCAAAACAAACTGACAATGACAGATTCCAAGCCTCTGCGGCAAAACATCTGATACAACAACAAAACAAACAATATCTACCAGGACCTTGGTCACGAATCGTCCCTAAAGAGGTCACAAACAGAGACTCCAAAGAGGTCACGTACTGAAGGTCCAGGTATATCATGACCTGTCATAACACCCTAAGGGTCCAGGACCATCCTGAGGATGTCCTTTGGCCCCAAAGACCATTCTCTGGAAGTACTTTCACCTCTAAGACCATCCTCAGGAGGTACCTGGACCCTACTGTATGGGACAATCATAAAAAACATGTTGTATTTCCCCCTTCGTACCAGGATCACATCTGAAGCTTTGCTGGCAGCTTTGCTTCGTGTGATGTTGCAAAATCCTCAAACGTACCTTATAACTTATAACTTATAATTACGAAGTTTGAACAACCCCAGGTCTCTTCCAAGGACACCTCAACAAGCTCATGTCCGCACCCAACACCAGATCGCTCAACCTCGAAACCACAGGTTCCACCGCTGTGCCGTGCCGAAACAGCGCCCAGTACTCAGCAGTACTCCCTACGTCCTCGATCACGAAGAAGGGCTCGTCCAGATCAACCGAAACCGGGACCTGCGCCTGAGCGGCTTTTCATCGGGCTGCACTGAGTTGATGGCATCACCAGACCACGCTCTTGGATCCTCATATGGAGTGATGGGACAGGATCGGACCCTCATCCGGTCGAACCAATCCCTGACCTTTAAGGGACCAGTCGGCCTGTGAACGGAGCTGGGTAGAGAATTCCATTGTTGAAGAGTTTTGATGAACCTTAATGGGCCCACCTCTGATGAAGCTTTTGTTTAATGAACGGTTGAATTCACTCTTCTCAATAATTACTGTATATATACAGTATATTATATAGTTTCTTGTTACTAGTAGTAAGGCCAGGAGCTATATATATATGTATAGATTCCTGGATCAAAAATTGATGGGGGTGAAGATAGGTGAATGCTGATGAAGTCCAAACTGCTTCACGATGTTTGTCCAAGCCAGGTGTTCTTTCTGCTTTTAAAGTCTGGGCGGATTTTCAGGCTGAGATTTCTCTCCAACCTTCGATCGCGGCATTGAACCTACTCATCTGCATCAACGACTTGTGAAGCACACGCAGCATAACTCATCCACCGGAAGGGTCCGTTGTTCACTACCAAGAGCACTTGCTGAAGAGCTGACGACTGTCTGACGTCTAAGTCGGTTGATAGACTGTTGACCTCCCTCCTTTGACCACCTCCAAAAACCATTCAAAGAGAGTCCAGGATTGGCCAAACACATCCCAAAACCACCTTTTATTTCAGGACAACTGGGTATTTGTTGATTCTTTCAGTTCATGTTGGTTCAGTATTCCAACTCTTGACCGGGGAAAACGTCCTCTCTCGCCTCACGACGGTGCGTGCGACCACCCGCCTGCGCGTCAGGCTTCACGGGCAAGAGCTGCTCGGCCACCAAGCCCTTGGCACTCTGCAAGCTCTGGGCATCAGCCTGGGGCAAGAAATGGGCATCTTCATGCATCTTCCCACCGCCAGACTTCTGAGAGTTACATCATGTTACATCAGTTGCCTAGATCTATGCCATTGATTATGACCCTAAAGATCCCTAAAGTAATCAGATGTACTAAGTAACTATTAAGTAACCTATTTCCAGTCCCATGGATGGTCTGGGGTTACTCAACTTTTTGGCATCAACGCGCAATCAAACCAATTCAATCACTCGATCCGATAAACACTCTGTGGACAGGTCATCATCTTTGCATGATTCCTGACTCCCTCGGTTTCCATTGGAAAAATATAACAAAAAACTAACATATCCACCAAAAACATCCACCTGTTCAATGTCTCACCGCCAAAAAGGTCTTACGGGTGATCCACACACTTCCTGGGTCAGGTGGTCCCTTTCTTGGATGGCAGTCTCCCAGGTCCAGGCCCGTGACCCAAAACAGAAGGGGTACGAGTAGTACGAGAATCCCACAAAACCAAGCGCCATCTACGTTTTCTTCCAGCTTCTCTTCCTGCGTTGTTTTCCTTCCATCCGCTTCCTGGTCTTCTTCGGCCGCTTCCCCGGCGATCCGCCCGGCGATCGGTCGGTGGGTCGGTGGGGGGGTCCTTGTAGAAGTTGGCGATGTTCAACGCCAGCCTCGCTCGCTCGGAGACCTGAGGGATGGCAGCGCTTGTTGCGAAGAGGCCCGAGCTTCGAAGGAGGGGGGAGGTGTCTTGTTTAACAGGAGCATTGATTTGAGTCAAGAGAAAGCACCTGCACCTTACCGGCCGGGCAGTCACTTCCGCACTGGAAATTTCGGTCACTTGCGCACTTTGGGTCACTTGCGCACTTGGCATCAAAAATTTAGGTCACTTGCGCACTTACCTGCTTCCTAGCAACGGGTGGTGCCTACTCCACATGCAACTAGCGAATGGGTTGGGGTGGGGGGTGGGGGGGGTGGGGTGGGGGGGTTGCAGTTGCCAACCATACAAAGGGACTCTGAACTGCTGAAAAGGTTGCCAAGTTGGACAAGGTCAACATCTTTACACTCTGACATTGGTTTTCAGTTAACTCAATTGCCACGATGGGAAGGAAGGTGAGGGAACGGAAAGGTGCATGAGTCAGGAAAAACAGTATTGTTGAACAATGTTTCCGAAAGCGCTCAAGTGAAAACGGCGTGCAGCAGCTGCAATGCGGAAGGAAAATGGTTTGGGGGAAGTATCATGAAGGACCATGAAGCAAAACGCGAAAAGTAGAGTCACAGCTTGAAAAACAGTTCAGCAGGTACACGGCGGTGATCAATCTCCGCATCCCCCATCGTGGAACAGCTTCGTTGACACAGGTATCCACGATGGGCCTGTGCCCCCTGCTTGTGTGAATCGCCGGGAACATTCGTTGTAAAACCCTCAGAAACAGGGCGTGACACACACAACAAGCCGAACTCGGCGGTTGCAAAGCAGTGGATAAGCGGACTTTTTCTCAAAAACCGCCTGCACGCTTGCAGGTCATGCCCTTTTTGGGGAGATGAACGGCCAGTTGAGAGGTGGCATCCAGTTGGAAATGAGATAATGTTCCTGGATCCAGGCTTGATCATAAGTTTAATGAGAAGAGAGTTGAATGGGAGTGAACTGGTGGATGTTGTTGTGAGAGTGCCAATAACGCAGAGAGAGCTCGGCGGAGATTGGAATGTTGTTTTGCAGTTGTTTGAGTTTGGCTCGACGGTTGTGTTCCCTGTGTGGGATGCCAATGCCTGTGGAGCCGACATAGAAGTGACCATGCTGGTGATAGCATCGTTGAGGTGTAATTGGGTTGAGGTAGAGTTTGACATAGACAGCGTTGGGGGAGAGGAAGTTGTGATAATGGTATGTGTGGGGCTGTATGTGTAGGTGTTGGAGTCTTTGGCGCCACTGTTGCGAACGTTTAGTGGATGAAGGGTAGCAGAACAAAAGTGTGATGTGGATAAGTCCCACGGCGAAAATGGCCTCGGCTCGTTCAATGTATTGGCTGTTGTGGATAAGGGTGGAGAGGGCTTGGTGGAGCTGAAAGAGTTGTTGTAGTAGATTGTTGTGCGGCAGTTGTTGGCTGCTGAAAGAGAGTCAGCCAGCAATGGCAGCTCCCACACTAACGATGTGCTGGAGGCTCTTAATCGGGAGTTTTGTGACCCGATTGAGGGGTAAGCCACAACGGGTGGTGGCCTCCTTGAGTTGGTCGGTGGTCACTTTGCTGGTTTGTAGAATGCGCAGGACCTCCTGTGCGGACTCCTGGACCTTGGGTTCAAATGTGCGCACCCAGTGCTGGATGGAGGGCCCTGTCCAGGCTTCGGGGGCATCGTCCTTGAGGGTGGGGTAGGACGGCTGGAGCACGTCAGTGAGTGCTGGTGGTTTGTGGGGTTCGGCGGGTGCGGCGGGGGCTGCTGGCGCGCTGGGAGCTGAGGAGCGGCCAGCCTCCTTGATCGGTGTAAGCTCAAGACCATGGGCCTGGAGCTTTTCCCGGGCTCGGGCTAGATCATCGGAGGTAGCCTTGAGAGCTCGAAGGGCAGAGCCTTCGGCGACGGCCGGAGCGTGGGCTTGGAGCTGGTCCGTAAGGAGAGTAATCAGTGGAGAGTGGAAAGCACGTGCTTGTGTTGTTTTGTTGGGGATGGTGGAACCAGCTTTTGTGTGCATAGCCTCCGCAATCGCGTCCAAATCTAACCGCTTGTCGCGGATCTCCTGTAAGAGGTGGGTTGTGAAGACCGATTCGGCAACACTTCTGGTTGGTATGAGCCCGCAAAACTTGCCATGACTCAGGGTCCTCGCTGTATAGTCAGCTGTTCCATGGTAGGCGAGGAGCCAGGGGAACACGTCAAATGTTGGCAGGCCGGCGACGCCGGCTCGGCGGGACCATTGCGTTGGCTGGATGTGGCGGTGGAGCTGGTGCCGGTGAAGGGCATTGGAATCCCAGCAGGAGTCAGTAGGGCGCCACGACTCCTGGATGGTTGGTGTGGGGAATGGAACCCTGGGTGGAGGTGCTGGGGGGGGCTGCGTGACTGGGACTGTGTTTGAAGGATGTGGTTGTTGGTGTCGTAGGAGAGGCAGTAGGGAGCGGAGGTGGCTGTGGAGGCGGAAAGGATTGGTTGGCTGTGGCTGGCGGTGTGTGAGGTGGCGGTGAGGTCGAAGGTGGTGGTGTGTATGGTTGTGACTGGTGGGCCTGGTGAGTGCGGATAGAGTGGCTCATCGGGCCGTAGGTGCCAGTTGGAGTATAATACTGAGGGGCTTCGTTGCCGGATGGAGGTTGGTGTTGCTGCTGCCATTGCGCATCCATGTCGGTCAAAGAGGTGAGGTCAATGGTGATGGCGGAAAGCGTAGTTCGAGCAAGAAAGCTGACAGTGAAAAACTCTTGGTAAAGCTGTACAGTGGAAATGAATGGGCAAAAAATGATAGAAATCCTATGGAATGTCAAGACTGTGGTATGCAAATCCGTAGAAGGTAATGATGAAAAAGGCATGCAAAAAAATCTTGGCAGGACTGTTGACCTAATGGTGCCTCGGGTCACAATAGTCCGGTTTTTTCCGTAGTGCGAAGTGAAACGGCCGGTGGTCTCTGTGAGTCTGTAAGTCCACAACAAAACGACCAGTGGAAGTATGGTTCAGTGAAAACATTGAAAGAGATGGTTGTGGGCATAAGTTGAACAATGGACGTGAGGCTGAGGTGGACTCTCACTGGTGCGGCTGGTCGCTAGAGTCGAAGTTGTTCCAGGGATCCAACTCTGCGACGTAGTTCTGGGCGTGAAGCGGCAGCGGACGGCCATGAGGCCCCCTTCCCGGAAGTCAAACTTCCACAAGCGCATCTGTTTCTCAGCGGGCACTCTCGGACGATCTGGTTTGAGGTCCATGTCGAAGCGACCATCGCAGGTCTTCTTTCAACTCTTTCACCTTTTGAACAACTGCCTTTGGTAGCTGCTCTGGTGGTAACAGGACTTTCTTTTGAGTCCAGCACATCCGCTTGCCGCACTCATCGAATTGTTTGAACAGCGGGCACCGCGCCACGACCTCGCCAGCGTGCTTGCCAGAGTACTGGACTGTTACCTGCAGCGCTTTTCGGTGCTGCTCACAGTAGCCATATTTGAACTCTCTCCTGGGCAATCTTTCAGGAGCGACATTCCCGCAAGGAACTCCCGGATGGCCGCATGGCATCCAAGTGCTTGGTGGTGCACTGCTTTCCGCTCCACCATGCTCCCTCTGCAGAAGCTCTTCCTCTTCTCGCAACTGAATGTTCATCACTCCAAAATGTTGGAAAAGTCACAGAGAACACACGTACAAACTCGGTTGTCGTTATTCTACAGGATTCTATTCCGTAGTAAGCGTCGTAGTAGTAGTAGTAGTAGTAGTAGTAGTATATAGTAGTAGTGGTAGTAGTAGTAGTAGTGGCATGCACTACTAGTAGTGGCAGTGCTTGGTGGTAGTAGTAGTAGCAGTAGTAGTAGTAGCAAAGGTAGTGGTGGTAGTAGTAGTAGTAGTATTAGTAGTAGTAGCACTAGTACTAGTAGTAGTGGGAGTAGTCAGCATCGTCGTCGTAGTAGTAGTACTTATCCGATGTATGATACAGAGGCATCGGTCTTGGGTTTCCCTCATCGGTTTTCAGTGTATGCTCAATGGCAGACCTCGGTCTTGGGTTTCCCTCATCGGTTTTCAATGTATGCTCAGTGTAAGACCGACCAACCTAAAGCGTTTGGTGACGACATGTTCGGACAGTGCTCAAATGTCAAGTGTACCAGCGACATCCAGCGACCATAATTTCAAGTGCACAAGCGATCCAAATTTCAAGTGTACAAGCGACAGCTCGCCCCACGCTGCTACGTAGATGGGATTGAACAGAGCAAGTCAAAGGGTTCATGAATTGACATGATGTGCTTGATGATGGGTTTGAAGTAAGCTCAAATTGTCATGAATTGAGATATGTTTCGTGAAAGCAATCACTTCCTGCAGAACAGCACCTCGTTGCTTCGCAGGTCGTTTTGATGATTTGAGAGTGCAGCTCGTAAACACCAATGTGTTTGCAGTTCCCAGAATGCAAACCAACAAACATATCCCCCCAGGCCACCCTCGCCCACCCAACGGGAAACATCTGAACCAAAATCCTGTGGCCTATCGCCGCCCAAGAGGTCTTTGCTGGACACCCATGGCACCCATACTTGGATTCGCCGAACAACGGGGAAAAAACCAATATGCCCCATGCCAAAAGGGATTTACCCAGTTCGGGAACATGAACCCTACAAGTCCAAAGACCCAGTAAAACCTGGTCCTTTACCTTCTTGAATAGTGTTGTTGTATCGTTCAACTTCAGTAAAATGAGGTCTTTGACTTGTAGGGGAACATTTACCCTAAACAAACTGGATCAACTCCCCCAATGTCTCCTGGCTGCCCGGCATCGAGATGCGTGGAGCGCACAAAGGACGGCAACTGGGAACACAAGAGCTCGTGCAGCTGTGCTACCTCAGTAACGCGACGAACCCACCAAACGGCGACCCTCCAATAGAGCAACAGTTGTTAACAAAAAACATGTTCTACACATGTTTCTTGATCAACATGTCTGAGGTTCCAATTATAAAGATATCTTTACTGAGATCTTTATGATCCATATGGTCCTCCTTCTCTTTCTGGTGTCCTCCTGTGGTCTTCGTGCCAGGCTTGTGAGCCCTGTGTCCCTGGTGTGCTCCTGCTGTCCTGTAGCCACACTTGTGGCCGTGTGTCCTCCTCATGTCCTCCTGCCCTCCTTGGCCGCGCGGGAGGCTCACCTTGTGTCCTCCCGGTGCTGAGCCTGTTGTCTCTCCTGCTGTCCTCTGGCCACGCCGAAAGCACTCCCATTGGAGCCATCAGGCATCATACAATGAATCGATGCCAGACCTGGCAGCTGCGCCTGACCAGCAGCGCGGCAGCGTGCAGACTTTTCGGAAATGGTCGCGTTTCTTCTTTCCACTTTGAAGAGCATAAGCACGTTCGCAAAAGATCCCGCACGCCATATATGCTTTCCTCCCATTTCACCAAGAGGAGTTCTTTTCGTCTTCTGATTGGAGATAAAGCCCAACCGGCCAACCGGCGACAGTGAGAAGCCAAACAGGGGCACCCACGGCCAAAACGTCGTCGCAGTGCCCGACTCGTTGGCCTTCAAAATCCGAAGGAGCCCCGTCACTTCTCACGTTCGCTTCACGAGGAGCCCCAAGCCGGTCCCTTTCAGAGGGTCCAAGTTGCTTCAAAGGGCCAACATTTATGGCTCAGAAGCGAGCAACAAGTGATGAGGCGTTTACAGTACGCAATTGTTTGGATGGTTCGAAAGAGAGAACTCCATTCCTTCTCCCTTCAAGCACGTCCGTCCTCTCTTCCGTCCACTCTTTCAGCTCTGTCTCGCTAGGTTCTGCGTGCCCACGTACACATGGTGCATGAACCGGTGCACGAACAGCTCTTATGGCTTATGGAATCTGTCACGATCGATTGCGAAGTGTCACAGGGCTTCAGAACTCTGCGCTGGTATCTGCGGTCCTCACTCAAGTGCTCTGGGCTCACAAGGAGATGATGACGCACCGTCAAAATAGAATATGTTTTGTCTTCTTGAGATGCAAGTTTACGATCTGCCAACCTGGTCATTCTTGATGCATCCTCAGCGACCTCGTCATTAAAATGGACGCCTGATTCAACCAGGACGTGCAGTGCTAAAAATTTTCTGCACTTCGAGATCAAAGCACTGGTTGACCTCACAACATGAATAAAACATATAGTAAACAAATTATTAGATGACCAAAAAGTGGTCCACACAAATTATACACAACACCTAAAAATAATTGATGGCCAAAGCGCATGGAATAAATCAAACCGTTTTGGGGTTTCCAGGATATCGACCCATCTCGGACTGTTTGTCCGGCCTCCTGAAATAAGCCCGGACGTGGCATGAAGGTCAGAACGGCTCCAGCCCGCCCCGGCTGTCCCAGCGGCGGTGGAGGGAGCGTGCTCAGGGACAGCGAGGTAGAGTTTACTTGCAGCCTGAAGCGATTGGGCCGATCTTTGATGGTTATGGGAATAGAATTGGACACCGGGGGGGGGGGGGGGGGGAGGGCGACCCCTCCGATACCTGGCTCCCTGGCTCGTCTTTTTTCGGGTTTGAGGAGTTTCCGCAGAAATGGCCCTGGCCCAGTCAAGAGTTGACCCGTGTTCGGGTTCCCTGAGTTCAAGGTCGACCCACCAACCCGAGAGACGGAAGATTTCACAGGCAACTAGATGACCAACTAATCTTCTTGATCATATCAGAAATGGTCTAGATACTTTGTCGATTTGGCTTCAGCCGCTCTCTTTCTTGCGAATGTTGATTGAAACTGAATGAAATTCAGTTTTATCCACTACTGGGACCACTACTGGGACCTAGAAAGAAAAGTAAGTTTGTTTTTTTGGAGGCTATCTCCTAGTTTTCGAAGACACCCAGAAACCCACAGACCCTTCATGAGAGAGGGTCGTGATACAATGCATGGGTCAGGACGGTCATCTCATCATCATCTCCTCCCCACTACAAGTGTGCTTCTCATGTTTCTCACAAGAGAGGTCTTCAGAGAATCGAAATAAACCACGTGACATGAGGCCAGTCAGGCTTCTTCAAAGAAATGCTGCAAAAACATCAAAGGCCGCTCACAAAAAAAATATTCTGCAGTTTCTGCAAGGCAAGAATTGAATTGTTTGTTTTCTCAACAGTGGTTCCAAGCACCTCAAGATTCCTGTATACTTCCGGGCTGATCGCCCCATTCGCGGAGAACACAAGAACCCTGAGCATGACATAGCAAGACTAGACACAAATCCCCAAAGACTCTGCAATCTTTAGCTGATCACCATTGTCCATCTAACCCAAACACTCCATAGGACTGCCGAGAAACGGCCAGGGGTGGTGGTTTTGGGGGGTCAAAAAACATGGCAGTCCCATTAGTCGTGTCTGGGTTAGAGATACATCCCTTTAAGACAGTTGGATGGACAACGGATGGAGCTCGCTCGCCCGTCACAGTCGTGGACCCCGGTCGTTTCCCGGTCGTTTCGTCGGACCCTTCCGATCGTGGGGACCGGTGAGGGACCCACCACGACGCGGGAGTTCTTCCACGGAGGAAGGCGCACGATGTTTCGATTTTTTGGGGAGGGAATCGCAAACAGTTAAACAAAAACCAAGACAGATGATGCTGGCAACCACTTTATTCACCGATTAACAAATCACTGGTTCGACTGTTGATCAAAAACCTCTCGACCACTGTTGGTCGATGCTCGACCACTCGAGCAAATAAACCGACCGTGAGGTAAAACAGGGGTGCTGGTCAGGTGTCTTCTAGTTGTTACATAAAGGTGTAATTATATAACAATGGTGAACATGAATGAACAGGGGTATCCAGATGGTATCGGGGTATCCCTTCACTGTCCTTCCTCATGTACATTCATGTACTCATATCCACTGGTTTGACAGGGTGGTTGTAAAATCCTCAATTTCCAAAGTGCTTTTTAAAGCTTGGAACAACCCCGGCTGGCCTTTCCCATACATCACAAACCTCCTTCTGACCTGGTCTCGTCACCCCTTTCGGCTGATCTGGACACGTCGTATGGGGCCCCCCGACCCAAATGCACTGTGTCTGCGTCGCGGCGTCTAACGCCTCACGAGTGGACGGAGTAGTCTAGTCGACGGGACGGGATGTCATGGGTGGACGGCTCCGGGAACACGAGCGCAAGACGTCTTCGAATTCTTTGGGGAATTCACTGCAAACTGGAGGTGATAAAATATTTTTACATGGTTTTTGAAGAACTTTCAGACCTCTGGGTAGGTTGATTGAACGCACACAAATGTGGAATGTCGTAATATAATCTGTCTATGCACAATGGTTGGAGACCACAATACTCTAGTGAATAAGTGAGTCTTGAGGCAGCACATACCTTAGTGCAGCCCATGAAGATCCGTCAAATCTGCTTGCAATCTACAGAAACAGTGTGTGCAAATATATAGGAACACAGGTCAAAACCTCTTACTTACCTCTAAGGTCATTGAGAGGCCTCTTAGTCACTTTGCATCACTGCCCACCAAATTCTGTTTGTGTGCTTCCCAAGCGACCTGCCAATTCCAACTTGCATTTTTGAATTATTGAATGAACACCCCACCACCCGGAGTTGTGTCTGTGGTCAACTGGTTTCTGGGGCCAACACGTGAAAGAACGTGGTATCGTTCAGGTATCGTTTTGGGTATCGGATATCGTTTTCAGCAGCAGGCGTTTGCCAACATCGCTGGCAGTCAAAAACAAATCCCCAGAGGTGGTTCAAGGATGTTAAAGGTTATACACTGACAGGGTAGGTACTGGTTCCCGTTGAACGCGCCCTTATAAGGGGCCGTGAGTTTGTGATGTTTATTTTTTTGTTACATGTTGTTTTGTACGAATTGTGTAATGTCCAACGTTTTGGATGCTTGAACACGGAGAGTCTTTTTGGGGAGGTGGCTAAAGTGCTGTAAAGGTTGCTCGGAACCTTCGTTTTTTGATGTTTCGCTGCAGTTTCGATCGGTTTTGACTACATGAACTTTCCGGTCCAAAAGTTTCGAAGGACTTTCTTTTACGCAGCTTGAGAGATGCATCAGGTGGGAGTTTGTCAGACCACCGTCGTTCCGTATCTTGAGTAATTCAACCAGTAATGCGTGTAGAGGTTCTTAGATCACAAAACTGATGTACTTTTTCATAGACCCCAATGTCGGTCAATGTCGGACCCCTTTTTCGATGGGACATGTCGGACCCATGTCGGCCCTACGTAATTAAGGAAGGCCCGCGTTTCTGTGTAGATAAGATGTCGGCCAATGTCGGTTAATGTCGGACCCCATTCGTGGAAAAATCCAAAAACAATTGTTGCTGCAGCTTGGTCTGGTTCAGGGGGCTCAGTCTGGCAGATGACTGCCAGGAATACTTGGCACTCTGTGGACAATGACTCCAAGTGGACGACTGTGCGCTGGTGGAGGTGTGATGGGGCGAAGGTGACTGATACGTGTGGAGAAAGCGCGCCTGCAATCCACTCACACAATTTGAAACATCAAATTACACGAAAACCTAAGTATACTTAAACTCCTACTTACACCTTGCTTACAACTTCTATTTTTGGAAGTTGTAACTTACTACCATGTGGGGTGAATAGCATACATCTTCAATATCTCATTTCCAGGCATACAGTAGTAGTAGCGTTCTTGTTGCTAATAGTATGGCCAGCCTAACCTCTGTGGCTGCCGCTCCAAGCTCCACCCAGTCAACTTGTGCAACGGTCTCCGTGCCCTGTGACTCCTGCTCCCTCTGCTCCTCTGCGTGAATTTTATGAATTTGGAATGTGGTTTGAGGGAGCTCATCCGATGGCACCACGCCAGAAGGAAAGAGTCAACAGGGGTGGCTGGTCGGCCTGGCAAATCCTGCCATCAAACATGGTGGAGCCAGGATGAACTTGATTGAGTGGCAAATTGCACCTCTTGCAAGAGGGTCGTGAGGTCTTCAATGGCCATTGAAGCAATACTTAATACAGCCGACAGCCATGAAGCGTCCAGCTTGGGCCCAAACATTATCATGAGCTGCTTCCAGACTTTTGCTCTTCCTCGCACCTGTTGATGTCAGAAGGAAAAACTGGCTAGATAATAAGCCGCAAAACGGGCAAGCAAGTCGGGTTTGCTTCAAGATATTCAAGAGCATTGTCTGTTTTGAAGCAGTGTCATTATTGCCATTGCGCAGTTTGGCGCGGTCGCTCTTGTGATCGAATTCTTCCTCGCTAGAAGTCGTAGAGCCTTCTTGCCCAACCCTGCCAGGCTGCCTCGCACGACAAATCCTGGCGAAACCCAACAAGAAACATGAACTCAAGGGCACAGTGGACTCGAAAGGCAGGACTCGTGGACTGCAGCATGTGTGGCGGTGGAAGCCACGGAGGCGGAAGTGCCCTGCAGCATGTTCTTTAAGAGCTCTACTCGTTGGCGCAGCGGTCCTCGATGCTCGCTCTTCTGACTTGAACGCTACACAACGATGGGTGGGATCCACCGTCTCCAAAGAGCAAACGTCACACTCTCATCGTCACTGTCACGATGTTTTCTGTCATTGACCTCCTTGACACCGTCATTGGCACGCAGGTTGAGCCAGTCGACCACCACACGCAACTGACGTTCATACAATTTGCGAAGATCAACATGCAAAATTCATCGTTTGCCAACAGCTCCTCTGTGAAGCGGTTGCTCATATCTAGCACCCTTGGAAACGATCAGCACATCGGTCTGGCACAAGTCGATGCACTGCCACCAAGTTGTGGGCCTCCAAGTGGCTGTGTTCAGCTAGCAGGCAATCCAGAATTTGAATATCTCCCACTAGGTGAAGGCAGGAAGGGCAAGTCTGGTAGGTAAAGGCCTCGCCATCAAAGCCTTTGACCTGGCATTTGAACAGTCAGCACTACCAGCCGAAGGCTTCCTCCACCAGCTGTTCTCCTTGAACCCACGGCGCCAAAGCGCCGACTGAACAACGCATGGGAGCTTGGCGAGGTAGCCATCCTGCTGCGTTAAGTGGAAAGGCATCTTTCCAAGAGCGAATGGGATGGCAAGCCTGACTGCCCTTCCAAAGCATTCATTGACTTCTAGAGGAGACGGCGCATCTGGGAGTACTGCCGTTGTAGCATACGGAGGTAGTATCCGCGAGTACTCTCTTCCCGCGCAGGGGTAAGTTCAATGGGCAAAGTCGGCCAAAACGACCATCCGCGATTTTGGAGACGATCCATCAGAATCTCTGTGCTATTTTGCTCCAACATGTGGTTCCAGGAGACCAAAGGTCTAAAGTAGTTTTTTCCCCTGCGTTTTTCTGGGTCCTGTGGTTTCCTTCCAGCATTGTTCACCCTCAACCCCCTGAACAAAGTGACCCCAGGGAGGTTCATATAACTGTCACCAATGAGATTCTGTGCTCCCACTCCAATGGTCCAACGTCAAGGTCAACGTCAGCACTTCTGAAACACCCACGCCACCACGCTCGACCCAAACAGCCCGTACGCGCTTTCTGCGGCGCATCACCTGGATGCTTCGGCTGGTGAGGAGCACCTTGGCGCCACTCAGAAAGGCGGCCTGGCACCGTGGCGAAGGTTTGGATGGCTGCGATGGGTCCCAAGCAATTTTTTTTCCCGAATGCGTAGCGAAGGGTTCTCGTTTAACTCTGGGGGTCTGGGGGTAGAGTCTTGTTCGCGATCCGTTGTTTCTATGTTCGCAACCGTCCGCAACCGTTCGCAACCGTTCGCAACCGTTCGCAACCGTCCGCAACCGTTCGCAGTAGGACGCTAAGGCGCTGCCATTGGGGGAAGCTTTTGCAAGTGACTTTTCATGGATGTGTCACGTGTCAGTTTGCGACGCTATTCCATTGTGATTTGCATGAAAATGACATGTCGCGCAAGAAGCGTGATGCATTTCGCTGCACAGGCGCAGTGGTTTGAGAGATCCGCAGTTTACTGCGCAGTTCCATTGGGATTAGCGTTTGGAGAGTCGTGTTTTTGGGGTGTTGGATGTGACCGTGCCATTGGGGTTTGCGTTTCAGCGTGTGGCACTGAAGCTCTGTTTTCGTGACAAGTCTCAGCTGAAATGGCGATTTTGGTGGATGGGAGTGTGCTCAGAACGGGTCGAAATCATTCTAAACGTGTGGTGTGGTGCAAATTTTGTTGAAGCTCACGTGAGATGATATTCTCACTTTTCGTGGCAGGCACAGTACTTTGTGCTGATTTTGAGGTGTGGAAGTGCGATTTTCGTGGCAGGCGCAGGAAATCGTGAGGTTGCGAGGTGTGACGGAGGTGACATTTCGTGGCAGGCGCAGTACTTTGTGCGCGTTAGACGTGTGGATGCGGAGAGATTCGTGGCAGGCGCAGGGAATCGTGAGGTCGTGAGTTGTGGTAGAGGTGAATGTCGCTGTCACATTGGGATTGGCGTGTGAGCGGGTGTTGTTTGGAGGGGCTGGACTCGCGAAACTGCTTGGCAGGGCTGCGTGATGTGTGTGCTCCGATGGGTGTTTCCGCTTGACTTTTGGAGGAAGTCTCGTACGAAATCCTCGTTTTGCAGACTTTGACATGTTTTTGGAGGAAGTCTCGTACGAAACGCTCGTTTTGGAGACTTGACACGTGACTTTTGGAGGAAGTCTCGTACGAAACGCTCGTTTTGGAGACTTGACGTGTGACTTTTGGAGGAAGTCTCGTACGAAGCGCTCGTTTTGGAGACTTGACGCGTGACTTTTGGAGAAAGTCTCGAACGAAACGCTCGTCTTGCGCAGCCTCGAAGCGTGACTTTTGGAGGACGTCTCGTACGAAACGCTCGCAGGACTGCTTCTAGTGTGCCACAAGAGTGTCCCATAAGAGTGTCCTACAAGAGTGTCCCACAGCCACAAGAGTGTCCCACAAGAGTGGTCCTACAAGAGTGTCCCAGAAGAGTGTCCCACAAGAGTGTCCTATAAGAGTGTCCCACAAGAGTGT